CACAGCAACCTCCAACTCCTGGGTTCAAGCAGTCTCCTGCCTCAGCCTCCCAAGCAGCTGGGACCACAAGCGCCCGCCACAACACCTGGCTATTTTTTTGGTTGCAGCCATCATTGTTGTTTGGCCGGCCCGGGCTGGATTCGAACCCACCACCTTAGGTGTATGTGGCTGGTGCCCTAGCCACTTGAGCCATAGGCCCTGAGCCATGTCACTAGTTTTTTAAAGGAATCTTTTAATGGTTGGATTACTTGGTGAAATATTTGGTTTTTCTAGAGGTTTAGCTTAACACTAAATACTTTGAAGCTTTTTAATGTCCACAAAAGTTATCTTTCTTTCCCTTCTCTCTTAACCTCGTTCTCCAATCTTATACTAATTAGATATAAATGATATATATGATATCCAGTAAGACCTCCATAATTGACCACCTCACTACACTGACCACCTCAAGTTGACCTAATTTTCTTAGACTGGACATGCCCTACATATAGGTATCAGTAGGCCTAGTTCCTTATATTGACAACCTTCCTATGCTAAGTACTCTGTTATAGTCACTTGGGTGGTCAACTTACAGAGGTTGTATTGTACTTAATTTTTTTGCAACCATAAATTATATTTATAGGATTATAAGTGCTCTATCTTTAAGAAATATTCTTTAGAGTTTAAATTAGGTTTTTTAAAGTTAAGTCTATCACAGATTAGATTAAGGCAAATTTTTTCTACAGAGTATTTTTTCTTTTCATTGATCTCTTTTGCCTACTCAAATAACTGTGTTGTGCTGAACTTGTGGTATCATGAAGAATCTCAAATTTTAAGTTATTTATTACAAATAATCCTCATTTTCTTTTTTTCATGGGAAGCTAAATAACTCTGTTCCACATTGGTCTTGTCCTGGTCATACCTGCACCACTTTCCCTGGGAATTTCCCACCCCATAACCCCAGGCTGGCTGTAGTGGTGCTTGGTCACCGTATGCCCAGGCCTCCTGGTTCAGGTGCTTGGGTGTGCACACACTCTCGGGACCCATTCTGCACTGGGTTATCTTGTCCTGCCCTCTGTGACACAGTCTGGCACAGTCAGTAGAAGGACCTTTCCTTTTTCACTGAGGCCTTAGCATCTGCCGGAGGGCAGCTGCTTAATAAATACTTGTGGGATGCAAAATCAGATTCCTTTTCTGCAGTCTAGTCTGGTTAATGCTGCAGCAGTGGGTCTGACAGACCTGAGGAAGTGAGGAGGGAGGGCTCTTTTGCTACTGGGTGGAGTGGAGAATCTCAGACTCAGTCCTAGAAGGGGCCTTTCTAAGGGCTGCCTCAGCCTTCCCTGTAAGCCTGCCTTGGAGTGTCCTGAGGACTCATTGGGCTTCAGCAGATGGGCTATAAGGAAGGAAGGAGTCTTCAACTTTGGTGGCTTTGCTTTGAAAGAGCCTGATCTTAGATATATTGCTCTGCCATTGAGCTTTTTATGCAGTAAATGACAGGTGATATTGCTGAATTACTAAAAATTTTCTATAGAATAAGATCAACGTGATTTTTATGTAAAATGGTATTGAACTAACGGTATCAGAAGTTCTTTGGCTGGGCGTGGTGGCTCATGACAGTAATACTAAGCACTCTGGGAGGCCTAGGTGGATGGATTGCCTGAGCTCAGGTAGGAGACAAGCCTGAGCAAGAGCAAGACCCTGTTTCTAAAAATAGCTGGATGTTGTGGCAGGCGCCTGTAGTCCCAGCTGCTTGGGAGGCTGAGGCAAGAGAGTTGCATAAGCCCAAGAGTTGGAGGTTGCTGTGAGCTGTGTGATGCCACAGCACTCTACTGAGGGTGACATACTGAGACACTGTCTCAAAAAACAAAAGAAAAGAAAAAGATAATTTGTACTTTAAGAATCTATAAATAATTTCAATTTCATGTTCACACTTATGTTTCAGTGGAAATTTTCAGTGTAATGATAAGTAAATCCTCAAAGATTTCTCATGAAAAGTAATGGCTTCCTTGAGAATATTGTAGAGTTTTCTGGACCGTGGATGAGGAAAGAACCAGTAATGGGGGTAGAAAGGTGTGATCCATACCAAAAGTGCCATGCAAGTTGTTCTTCTGAAGTATAAAATATGTTGAAGAATCACCTTTTGGGGAAAATGGGAAGTATAAACAAAGTATCTCAAATTTCTTTCTTGGTTCTGGGAAGTACTAAAAGTGCAGATCCAAAGTAGCCATTGAATTCTTTCTCTGCCTTGGAACAAGAGTTTAGCAATCCAGTGAGTCATTGAAATAACAATGTTGCCAGGTGTGACTGAGTGGTTGGCTAATTGCTTATTTTCCGGGTGAAACTCTTAAGGTTTGTATTGAAACTAAGATAAAATTGAGTACTTGGATCAGTGTATTTTCCTTTATCCCGCCCTGGAAGTGGGCTGTTTCCCAAAAGTGAATTCTCCCTGTGCCTTGGCTTATGTCTTCTGGAACCAAGGTCTCTAAGAATGTATTAAAATGAAACTCTCCTTTATAATGCAAATACAGTCTTTTTGGGGTGACTTTTGCTTGTTATTTCTGGACCTCAGTGACACGCACTAGGATCTTCAGGATCTACTGAAGTGCTTATAATTTAGCCCTCAGTAATCTGACATATAGGCTTTTTGAGTTCTCATGTTTGTTTCTTGTAAAACTTACTATTTTTTTTCTGTTGGCTATTATTTTTTGCATGGTCAGAATACTGTCTCCAGAAATGGCATACTTATTTTTGCTGTATCTAATCTGCTTTGCCTGGGAAACTAGATTAAATTTATTAGAACTGGGGTTAGTGGTGAAATTAAAGTATTGATAATAGTTTAGTAACTACATCCCCAGGTTGGGAAACACTCATATATTTGACAGTTGAGTAGGAATTCTTTTTTTGTTGTTTTTGAGACAGTCTTACTCTGTCTCCTAAGCTAGAATGCCGTGATGTCATCACAACCTCAGCCTCCTGGATTCAAGTGATCCTCCTGCCTCAGCCTCTCAAGTAGCTGGGACTACAGGTGCCCACCACTGCACCTAGCTAGATTTTTCCAATTTTAGTAGAGATGGTGTCTCAGGCTGGTCTTGAACTCCTGAGCTCAGGGGATCCAGCCACCTCAGTGTCCCAGAGTGCTGGGATTACAGGCCTCAGCTTTCCTTAGGGTTATTAGTTCTTCCTCCCTTAGTCTCTGTTTTTCAACCTTTAACTCACACTTTCTTGACAACCTTTGCTGCCAGCGACCAGTAGATTCCCTAGTCCTCAAACAATGATCCTGCAATTGCTCTCAGCCTGTCACCATCTAAGCACTCTGGCTAGGGCCCTGAAACCTCTCTCATTCATCCCAAAATAATCCTCAGAAAGCAGATTCTTGTCTATGCCATACTTGTCAGGACAAGTTAACATATATTGGTTTAGGTATTTCTTTTTTCTTTTCTTTTCTTTTCTTTTTTTTTGAGACAGAATCTCAAGCTGTCACCCTGGGTAGAGTGCATTACAGCTCACAGCAACCTCCAACTTGTGGGCTCAAGTGATTCTCTTGCCTCAGCCTACTAAGTAGCTGGGACTACAGGTGCCTGCCACAACGCCTGGCTATTGTTTTGTTGCAGTTGTCATTGTTGTTTTGGCTGGCCCAGGCTGGGTTTGAACCCACCAGCCTTTGTGTATGTGGCCAGTGCCCTACCCACTGAGCTACAGGCACCAGCCTGGTTAGGTATTTCTAAAGAAAGGAAGAAGAGAATGAATTTGGATTATAAGAGGAAATGCTTGAAATTTAATAATTATCCAGAGATCCAGGTATTTTTTTTTTTTAAATGACAATCTCAAGCAGTTACTCTGGGTAGAGTGCTGTGGTGTCACAGCTCATGGCAACCTCAAACTCTTGGGCTAAAGTGATTCTCTTGCTTCAGCCTCCCAGGTAGCTGGAACTACAGGCATCTGTCACAATGCTTGGGTATTTTTTTTGTTGTTGCTGTTGCAGTTGTCATTGTTTTAGCTGGCCTGGGCCGGGTTCAAACCTGCCAGCCTCAGTGTTTGTGGCTGGTGCCCTACCGACTGAGTTATGAGCACCAACAGTTATGGTTATATTGTCATTTTTTTTTTTAATCTTTGACATCTTAACTAGCATTTATATAACTGAACTGACTTTGGAAGTTTGGCAAAATTCCAAAGTACTTTAGAAAGTAAGCAAAGTGGCAGAGCAAGCTAATAGTACCTTGGAAGATTCCATTCCTAGCATGAGCCTGGTTTTGCCAGGCAGCCCACTGACCTGTGGTGGGAAAGTTGATGGTATTTTCTGGCCTTTGATACATGGAATCTCTTAAAAGATTGATTTAGAGTTGCTATTTATGAGGCTAAGTTTTTCTTTAAGTTACCCTTGAACTTTTAAATTCAGATGTAACTAACCTTTAATCTCTATTCTTTACCAAGCATAATGAAAAGTACATAGATTTTAAGCACATGATTTTAATCTAGGTTCAGATGTTGATGTTAATCTAGGAAAAGTAACATTTTCTTCAGGACAGTGTTCTGGACTTAATTATTTAATACTTTGATCTTAATATTAATTATTGTTATACTGTAACAATAAATCTCTTTCAGCTACAATTGTTTATCTAAAATGCAAGGTCAACTCTGGAACCTTGAGTTGCCCTGGGTTGCAGGACTCTAGATGCCCTGCACTGCTCTCTGCACTTGAGTCATGAGGATTCTCAGAGGCAGCTTCTGCTGGATGCTGCTTCCATTACTTCAGTGGGCAACGCAGGCCGCAGACCATGTGGAGGTGGCGAAGCATGTGATCAAGCTGCACCGGGGTAGGGGCGCAGCCCTGGCACAAAGGAAGCAGTGGGCGCTGGACAGCTGTCGGAGGCTCTCTGGGCTCCTTCGCCAAAAGAACGTGGTTCTGAACAAACTGCAGAGTGCTATCAAAGTGGTGGAGAAGGACACCAGCCTGTCAAACGAAGAGAAGCTATTTCAGGTGCACACCTTTGAGATTTTCCAGAAGGAACTGAATGAAAGTGAGAATTCAGTTTTCCAGGCGATCTATGGGCTGCAGAGAGCCTTGCAAGGAGATTACAAAGATGTCGTGAACATGAAAGAGAGCAGCCGACAGCGTCTGGAGGCTCTGAGAGAGGCAGCCATAAAGGTCAGTCCCCAACCATAACACTTGAGTGGGGCACACTGGGAGGGGGCCGTGTACCCTGAGTGCTCAGCTGAGCGGGGCTTGCAGGGGCAGGGGGACCTGAATACTACTGATCTCTCATCTGGTGTCGTCTGATCATAGGAAATCGCATCTGGAAAGTCTGAGGTGGGGAGACTCTTTTCCTTTTGGATAATAGTGCAGGTGTCTTCTAGAAAGAGCCAGTCTCTAATGCTTTCCTCTCTTGAGGAAATTCTTAGGTAATTCAAAGTTATTCAAGTTGTACCTATAAACTGAAATGGAAGTAAATATATTAGTAACTTCAATTGACATTTTGCCAAGTTTCTGACAAGAATTCCATTTCATGTGAAATTTCTTTAATATGACTATACTGAAAACAAAATTAAAATTAATTAAAAAAAATGCAAAACCAGGCACAGTGGCTCACACCTCCTAGCACTCTGGGAGGCCAAGACCAGCCTGAGCAAGAGCAAAACCCTGTCTCTAAAAACTGCCTAGGGGTTGTGGCAGGTGTAGGTAGGTAGGTAGTTCCAGGTACTCAGAAGACTGAGGCAAAAGGATCTCTTGAGCCTAAGAATTTGAGGTTGCTGTGAGCTATTACACCATGGCATTCTACCGAGGCTGACAAAGTAAGACTCTCTCTCAAAAAAAGAAAAACAAAAAAATGCATACACTTGAATTCTTTGACCAAATATACTTTGATAAAGATGAGAAGGATTTTAAACTGTATCAGATATGATATAATTTATGTCACTTAACTTTACAGTCATCATTTCTTGAGAACCTGTTATATGCTAGGCACCTTGCCAAGCCTGGTAAATATGTAAAATACCATGTCATCTTTATAGAAAAGTCTATGGTGTTATTACACAGCTTTGAAAGCAGAGAAAAATATATACCAATTAATCTTTCTCTGCCTAAATATAGTATTTTTTTGATAGAAATGTGATCGTCAGACAAGTGTTTGATCATGGTTTTCAGTAATCCCAATTCACTTGTCTCACTTGTGCCATATGTGTGTGGACCCCTGTCCTGCACTTGTGCAGTAGAAACGCCTGCACCTGTGTGTCTGGGGCATCATACGTTGAGTGGCTGCTCCAGGATCTGAGTTGGCCATACTGTCTTGGGCAGTGTCCAAGACAAGTGCTGCTCTGTCCCATCCTTGCCCCACCCCTTTGCATATGAATATACCTTTAAGGTGAAGTTATTGGTAAAATAGGATGTGTAAATACATTTACTAAATTTTATTATCACACCACTCATTGATTTCCCAATTAAATAATGCTGTCAGAATCTATATGTCTTTTTGAAGCGGTTGCCCCTTATAATTGGACTTTGTGTGTGTTCTGCTTGGAAATTTGGACGGTAACACAGCGCTCAGGTATCAAATCTCTCTGCAGTATAGCTGCACCTGCCTGCGTGTCAGGCCTGGTGCGGTGATGTAATCAGTGCTGAGAGCATGACTGTCTCATGATGACTCAACCTGCATATGCCACACTCATAGTTGTTGTTCCCATACACAGAGTGTTCCCTGGACAGGTGGGCTAAGCTCAGTTATGTCTGAATTACTAGGACACTTTCCCTCGCTTACCAGTCAGGAATCTTACATACGTGAATGTGGCCTTTGAGAAATGAGATGACTTAATTCTAGTCAGGTCAGGTTCCTGAATGGATGTAAGAAAGTCATATCCTGGTTTGTTTTTATTATACTAACTTCATTTTTACAAATGAATAGGAAGAAACAGAATATGTGGAACTTCTGGCAGCAGAAAAGCATCAAGTTGAAGCCCTTAAACACATACAGCATCAGAACAGAAGTCTGTCCATACTTGATGGGATTCTGGAAGATGTGAGGAGGGCAGCAGATCGTTTAGAGGAGGAGATAGAAGAGCATGCCTTTGATGACAATAAATCGGTGAGTAGCATTCCAGAAGTTTCGTTGTTTTTTTTTTTTTTTTTGAGACAGGAGTCTTACTGTGTCACCCTGGGTAGAGTGCCATAGTGTCACAGCTCACAGCAACCTCAAACTCTTGGGCTTAAGCAGTTCTCTTGCCTCAGCCTCCTAAGTAGCTGGGACTACAGGCACCTGCCACGTTGTCTGCCTATTTTTTTGTTGCAGTTGTTGTTGTGTAGCAGGCCTGGACTGAGTTTGAACCCACCAGCCTTGGTGCACGTGGTCAGTGCCGTAACCACTGTGCTATGGGTGCTGAGCCCCAGAAATTTCTTTCTTACCCACTGAGCTACTTTCTGCCTAGAAGATGTGTTTTTGAAATTGTTCTCATATATGTTTTTAGTGTTGATTGAAAATGAAGACAAGCCAAATCACTTGTTTGTCATAGAGAAAATAATTTGACTGGGTCTTGTAGAACTGAGCTAGACACTGTGTTTCCTCTTTGTATTTTTAACAGCCCACTCAGCTGCCCCTGCTTCCCAGCTCTGCCACGCAGGTGTATTGGGACTCTGGTCTCCAGAGGTCTTGATGTTGGGCTTGAATTCAGGGAAAATGATCCTTGTGTCTGAGGCAGGAATTCATGCTGCTCAGTTGTTATAGTATGTTCAATTCTAAGGAAAACTGGGGCCAGGCGTGGTGGCTCCTGCCAGTAATCCTAGCACTCTGGGAGGCCGAGGAGGGTGGATTGCCTGAGCTCATGAGTTCAAGACTAGCCTGAGCAAGAGCTAGACCTTGTCTCTAAAAATAGCCAGGTGTTGTGGTGGGCATCTATAGTCCTAGCTACTTGGGAGGGTGAGTCAAGAGAATCACTTGAACCCATGAGTTTGAGGTTGCTGGAGCTATGATGCCACGGGACTCTACCGAGGGTGACAAAATAAGATTCTGTCTCAAAAAAAAAAAAAAAGATTCAATGGAAAATTAAATGTGGGTCTTGGTATGGACTCACAAAATGATTAGGTGGTAAAAAGAAATCAGGATAAGATTAGAGAAAAGGAGAGAATAAAATATAGTGAAAGAAATGGAGTATTTTTTAAAAGTTACTAATTAGAATTAGAGGAATATTTAGAAGTATTTTGGCTTGGCGCCTGTGGCTCAAGTGGCTAAGGCGCCAGCCATGTACACCCAAGGTGGCGGGTTTGAATCCAGCCCGGGCCCACCAAACAACAATGACGGCTGCAACCAAAAAATAGCCGGGCGTTGTGGCGGGCGCCTGTGGTTCCAGCTACTTGGGAGACTGAGGCAGGAGACTCGCTTGAGCCCAGGAGTTGGAGGTTCCTGTAAGCTGAGATGCCACGGCACTCTACCCAGGGGGACAGCTTGAGGCTCCTGTCTCAAAAAAAAAAAAAAAATGTAGAAGTATTTTAAGGGCTATGAATCTTTGGAAGACTTTGCTCTATATCAGGTAAAGCAGATGTTTGGAAGCTGCAGACCTTTTCAACCTTTCTACCCTTAAATTACTTCATTAATTGAAAAAAGTCCTCATTTATGCTAATGAACACTGGCCTTTCATCACATTTGAAGAATGCTAAGAGTATTTCTGTCCTTATGTGTAGCACTTACCCTCTGACAGTTGAGTTTGCAGCATTTAGTTAGTTCAAGTTGCTCCTGGTCCTTCCTCCAGGTGAAAGGGGTCAACGTGGAAGCTGTGCTGAGGGTGGAAGAAGAAGAGGCAGGCGCCAAGCACAACATAACAAGGGGAGAGGTGGAGGGTGGCCTGGGCCTCAGCATGCTGATCGACTCCCAGAACAACCAGTACATCCTGACCAAGCCCAGAGATGCCACCATCCCACGTGCAGACCACCACTTCATAAAGGTAGACTGCTACTGTCGCCCAGCACCAGGGAGAACAGGGCTCATCTTCTGAAGGTTATATTGGGTGCATAGCATCCTCCTTGAGAGAATTCACTAGAATTCCCTACATTTTCTGTGGCTTGGGACATCCTCTCTTAAGGATGTTTTTGTTTTTCTTTCTAAAGGAATAAGGCATTTTAATATTTAAAATGAAAACTTGTTTTGAAGAATTTGGAAGACTTCTTGAAATTAGGAGTCTTCTTGATGGGATTACAGCTTTTGTCATTGCAAAACTGGTCTTGCTAAAATAAATAATCCTTAAAAGGCAGAGAAGTTTTGGCTATGGAGCCATATATAGCTGCACTTACCCTTGGGGGCGCAGAGTGTGGAACCTCCAGTGGTGCCTGACACCACACACCATGGAGTGTGATTCAGATTGGACCCTCCCTAGAAACTGGTTTAGTCTGAGGCTGTGGAATTAAATAATGGAAGTTGAGAGCATCAGGGCTCAAGATGAGCGCTCTGGGGTGATGGGCATGGGAGGGTCAGGGTGCAGGCCCGTCTGGGAAGCCTGCAGTGTCTAGCAAGACTCCCTGCTCCTGGTGTGTTTTGCAGGGGCAGAAACTAAGCCAGAGACTCCAGTCTTATATAGTACCAGCATAGGCTGAGAGGAAGAGAACCAGAAATGCTCAGGGCTTCTGCAGCGCTGAGCTTGTGCTGATGGCCTCAAGTCAGCAGGTGTATCGCGGTCCTATTGTGGCTAGATTGGGCTCTGGGGACTTCTGCAGGTTGATGATCTGGGTGCCTGTGCAGAGGTGGGTATTTCTACAGTGAAGTTAGTCTTTCTTCCTTTGAAATGAATAAGTAGTTTCTGGAGAAATGGTTTGAAACTGTTATAAATGTCCTGCTCCTCGTAAGTGGTCATCCAGCAGTTGTCCACTTGCATGATGGCTCCCTCCTCTGTAGTTGAGTGATAGCTCATTGATTTCATGTGATGGGAGAACGGTGGAAAGGGTACACAGAGCTGTGAATGTTTCCCAGGTTTCAGCAATTCCAGATGGAAAATAATTAGGTAAAAAACAATAAAGAATAACAATGGATTGAAAAATACAAAGCTAAAAAATACATAAGTGGGTATAATAACTATTTACATAGTATTACTTTGTATTAGGTACTGTTAGCAGTCTAGAGATGATAAAGTGTGGGGGGTGGGCAGGTTGTATGTAGACGCTAGACATTTGACATTGGGAGGTGGAGTGTTGGAGGGTTTTTTTTTATCTGGGGTGGGGGCTCTGGAAGGGTCCTCTGGAAGGGTCCTGTAATTAATGTCCTGAAGATACCAGTGATACTTGTAATCCTTAGGCCCTCAGGAGTGACCTTTATCTACTCCCCAAATTTGCTCCTAATGTTTTCACCAGGTCTGTGACACAGTAGTGTAAAAACACTCCGACTTAGTGTCCTCATCTGCCCTTTGTTCAAGGAACTGCCATCTTTGCCAGTCCGTCTTCTTGGTCACTGTGTTTTTTGCCTGTTCTTTCTGTGCTAGGACCTTGCTGCTATAGGGATGCTGTCTCTGCCGTGTGGCTGGCTGTGCACGGCAATTGGCTTGCCCACGATGTTTGGCTACATCATCTGTGGTGTACTTCTGGGACCCTCAGGACTAAATAGCATTAAGGTAAGAACAGAATTTAACTATATTAGTATCTGTTTACCAGAATATTAAAGAAACATTCATGAAGACTGAAAATTTTTGACTTTAATTAATGAAAGTAATAGTTTCTTACAAGTCATAAAAAAGAAGACGTCCTTTCTGGTTTAATAAGAAACCTTCTCTGAACCATAAGGAAGTCATTTTATTTGTTGATAGAGTGACTTAACTAGAGAAAATAACCCTTTTCATTTCTTTACATTATATTAGTTTCAAAGCTTCCATTTCTACTAATGTGATGGACTGGATTATTCACACATGGAAATCAACTTTAAATGCTACATTAAATGTATTTTCAAATACCGATCACACATGGAAATCAACTTTAAATGCTACATTAAATGTATTTTCAAATGTTTCCTAGTGTGCATGAAGGCTGGTTACAAGCCCTGTCCACAGAGGCCATTGGCAGCAAGACTGTGTGCTGAGCAGGTTGACCATGTCCTCACTGATGGCACTTCTAATGGGGTGTTGGGGGTGATTCCCAAGCTCATGAGCTTCCAGGGGTGTCATCTAAGTACAGGTCCACAGTGTGAGCAGAAGGGAAAGAGGATGCTAGGAGAGTGGGAATGAGATGAAGACTTCCTGCCCTCATGGACATCCCCATGGTGGGCCCAGCAGAGGGTCACATGCTGCACCCAAAGCCTCATTTCCTGGGCAGGACTGGACTGACCAGAAGAGCCTTCACAGGCTCCCCAGACTACAGACTACCAAATTGATTTTTTTTTTCCTGCTTTTTGTAGAGATGATGTCTTGCTTTTGCTCAGGCTAGTCTTGAACTCCTGAGCTCAAATGATCCTCCTGCCTTGGTCTCCTAGGGTGCTGGGATCACAGGTATAAGCCACCACTTCCAGCCACTTTCTTTTTTTAAAAGCAAGTAGGCTCATAAACAAAGAATTAAGGCTAACTGGGTAATATTTACAACTGGATACTGTATATACTGTAATTCTTAATCAGCTATCCTGTGGAAAAATGATGTAATTATAAGTTAGAAATCTAAGTCCAAGTTAGAAATCTAAGTCCGTACTGGGCAAAAGTGGGAAGTGGTTAATGAAAAAAGTATATAGATGGTTGCCAACTTAATGATGGTTCAGTTTAGGATGTTGACTTTATGACAGGCTCACTAGGATACATTGTAAGTTGAGAAGCATCTGTAATTGTATCGAAAAATTTGTCTTTTTCTAGTGGGGAGTTGATAGATTTTCACTGATTAAGATAAGAAGTAGAGATTTTGATATGTTCTTTTGAAGATATAAGTCACACATTATAATTGTAAAAGGGAAGCAAAGAAAAAAGTGGCAGTAAAGAAGCATAAGAGCCAGAAGACAGAAGAAATAAAAGCAAGTGGCTGTTGTGATAATGTCTGTAAATGGAATAAACTCCCCTGTTAGAAGACAAAGGTTTGCAGATGGTATCAGGAAAATAGTACTATAAACAATGGTTCAGTATGAATAAAGTGACTCAGAAAGGTTGAAAGTGAAAGGAGGAAAGATGAAATAACAGCAGGGTTGGTTCCTACTTACCATGCTGACAAACTCAGAAAGTCGCAGTGGGGCCTGGGCAGTGTGTAGAAACAGGAACACCCAGGCTGCTGAATATTTTATAAAACTAAATAACTCGTAGCTACCACAAAACTCTCAAATGTAAATAGAAAAATATGATAGCTATAAACAACATTCTCTACTATAATAACATCAAAAAATAAATAAGATGAAGAATCAAAACAAATAGAGAACATTACATATTAAAACCTGTGGGATGTGGTCATATGTGGGACTTAGGAGAAAATTTACATCTTTTACTTGCTCAAGCCCAGACAAAAATAAAACAGTATAAATTAATTAAGAACTGAACTCAAGTTTAGCGCCTTCCCATACCCCAGAAAAAGCTAAGGGAGGGACTAGTGAGGATGAACATGGTGACAAATTGAAAATAGGTGGATTTATGAGTTAATGCTTAGAAAGTGAAACGGAAATTAAATAAAATTAGAAAGTCAAAATTATTCAGGTATAGAAGAAACTCAAAGAATTGATTTCTTAAAAAAATACTGTGTTTTTTTTGGTGATATTTCCACTGAGTATATTAGTATGTGATTGTTAAGTATACTTAACATATTAAGCATATAAAATTATATGGTTTTAAATTTCCTTGTTTTTCAGTCTATTGTACAAGTGGAGACATTAGGAGAATTTGGGGTATTTTTTACTCTTTTTCTTGTTGGCTTAGAATTTTCTCCAGAGAAACTGAGAAAGGTAAGGACCCAATCCACCTGCTATTGATTCTGAGCAACTTACTATCATATGGTTTCAGCTTATGCGTTTTTAACATTTGTTGGTTACTTGGCAATCAATCAAATATTTTTATAATAGAATATGATGTTTGGCTCGGCGCCTATAGCTCAACCGGCTAAGGCGCCAGCCATGTACACCTAAGGTGGCGGGTTCGAATCCCCAGCCTGGACCCGCCAAAACAACAATGACGACTGCAACCAAAAAATAGCCGGGCGTTGTGGCGGGCGCCTGTGGTCCCAGCTACTTGGGAGGCGGAGGCAGGAGACTCGCTTGAGCCCAGGAGTTGGAGGTTGCTGTGAGCTATGATGCCATGGCACTCTACCCAGGGGGACAGCTTGAGGCTCTGTCTCAAAAAAAAAAAAAAAAAAAAAAGAATATGATGTTTTACTTTGATATTATTTTTGGAACATAAATTCAAAAAGATAAAAAAGGTTTGGTTTGATAAAGTTGAATTTCAGTGAATAATTGGAATTAGCTTACATGTGGCTAATATCAGAAAAGGTTTGAGAATGTTTGAACTTTAATATATGGGTCCTTCCAAGAATGTGCAAAACTGTTATAGGGTGAAATATAACAACTGAATAGTCAAGTCTTTACCCTAGAAAAACTTACTAAATTAGAAGTGAGTTAATTGGCAGTGCCCATAGCTCAGTGGGTAGGGCATCAGCCACATACAGCCAGGCTGGGGGTCTGAACCTGGCCTGGGCCAGTAAACAACAATGACAATTGCAACAACAACAACAACAAAAAAGACAAACAGGCATTGTGGCGGGTGCCTGTAGTCCCAATTACTTGGGAGGCTGAGGCAAGAAAATCACTTGAGCCCAATAGTTTGAGGTTGCTGTGAGCTGTGACACCACAGCACTCTACTAAGGGCGACATAGTGAGACTCTTGTCTCAAAAATAAAAAAAAGAAGTGAGTTAATTAAAAAAGGTACTTTGCTTTTTAATAGATATCTTACAAAAGATGAAAATGACTGATTAAAAGCAGGGACTGGGGGGGACACAGCGCACATGACTGGTTAACAAAAGCCCTGTGAGTTAGAATCAGGTACCATTTTGCCTTCAGTACTAACTGGAATACCAGTATCAGGTTAGCAGAAGTTCCTAGATGACCATGAAGATGATAAGAGTCCTGGACCAGGTTGGTGCCAGGCACAGCCAAGTACCCTTTCTGGACAGCTGTCCAGTGGTTTGATTTGACCCTCTGGGGAGCACTCAGAAATTAACCATGCCAGCACAACATTCAGACGCCTCCTAATTTCCAAATTACAAGATGAATTTGAAAACCGAACCAGAAATGTTGATGTCTATGATAAGCGTGAAAATCCCCTCCTTCCCGAGGAGGAGGAACAGAGAGCCATTGCTAAGATCAAGATGTTGGGGAACATCAAATTCATTGGAGAACTTGGCAAGCTTGATCTTATTCATGAATCTATCCTTCATAAGTGCATCAAAACA